GCCCCAGGTGGCGCGAGCCGCACCCGACCTCCGGGGGACACCCCACGTACAGTCAATCCACAGGCGCCCATCTGCCCCATTTGTAGGAGGTATGGAGCACCCGCCCGTATACACAGCCCCTCCGGCGCCCCCTGTGCACGCGTGTTCCACAGGGTCGCCCGGCCCCGGCCGACAAAGTCGGCGCCAAACTGGCGCCCTTTGAGATCAAGCGCTCCCCGAGATCACACGGGCGGCGCCATCACGGTGGCGGAGGGCTTGGAGGGCGCCCCCTTGGCATCAGGTACGACGAGCTCGGCGTGGTTTGACGCGTCTCCCAGGTGGTAGGCGCGCTCGCCGTGCTTGGACACGTCGAGGCCCTTGAGCATCTCCTCGTCTGGGGGGCGCGGCCACGGGTGTGGGTGTGGTTTTGGGCGTTCGTTTGAGCGGCTTTGGGGCGGGTTTTGGCAGGAGATTTTGCAATTTTGGGACATGTTCAGGCAGTCTTGGGGGTAGGAGAACTGGATTGAATTCGGGGCTGGTTTGAAAGTGCTTTGCAGTTGTGGCACAGGGGGTGCGGTCGGTGTTTGGCCAGCATTGCGTCCCCGAGAGGCGGGCAGGGGCAGCGGGAGCAGCGCATGGGCGGACGCCGGCAAGACACAGGCAAGGGGTTGGCTGGGCGCGAGGGGCTGAGGTGCAGGGCAGCACAGGCCCCGTCACGGCCCCCCGGCGCCGGTGACGCCACCCACCCGTCACGCGCAGGGAGAGGATGAGGTCGGTGACCCAGAGGCAGCCCCAGGTGAACACCAGGAACCAGGGCACGATGATCACGAGGACGAGGAGGGTCTTGCCCAGCAGCATGCCGTTGCCGTAGAAGGCGCCGTCGGCGCCGGCGGGGTTGACGGCGGTGGAGGCAAAGAGGGAGGTGCAGATCATGCCCACGGTGCCGCCTGGGGGTGGGGGAGGGAAGTTGAGGGGACACAGATGGGTTGGGGCAAGAGGCAGGCTAGGGTCGGCAGGCGCGACTAAACGATCAGGTGGTTGCCGGGACAGCAGAGCCAGGAATCAAGCGATGTGACGAACGAAAGGGCGGCGACATCAGCAGTCATGGGAACCAAGCACGCCCACAAGGCGTGCTGACCCCCACCCTGAAACACTGGAAGCAGCGTGCACCAATGCCGTGGCGGGTCAACACGCCGAGTTCAAACACATTCCTGCACGCACGCACGCACACACGCACACACGCACACGAACGCAGATGCGCGCACCCACGCACGTACATGCACACACGCACACACCAACACACATACAGAAGGCTGCAATTGATGCGAGCGCGCGCACCGATGCCGTGGCAGGCGAATACATCCAGGGTATCATCAACGTACTTGCGGCCATACTTCTCCATCAGCTCCTGGGCGCCGCTGCACACCACGGCCCCAATCACGCCGATCAGCAGCGCGGCGCCGGGGTTGACAAAGCCTGCACGGGCAGACGCGTGGGGAGCATGGATGTGAGCGCGGCGCTTGTGTCGCCACGCCCCGACTCAGCCCTGGGCTAGCGTTTCAGGCGTTTCTGCAGCCCTGGAGACCCGTCGTCGGCTTAACGGCACTCAAACGGCGGCGGCGCAGCATTCCGTCAACACTCTCAGCAAGCACGCCAGCTCCTCATGCGCACCTGCCCGGCCACCCACCCGGGCCTGCAGACACGCCTGCATCTGCCTTGCTCGCCCCCAAGCACCAGGGAACCACGGACATCATTTGAGCTGACGCTGCGCGGCGGCCATCTTCACGACCCCCCACCCCCACACCCGCCCCATGACTCACCGGACGCGGGGGTGATCGCGATGAGCCCGATGACCGCGCCGACGCAGGCGCCCGTGGCGCGCATCTTCTTGCCGCGGATGATGTCCATGAGCATCCAGGTGACCATGGCGCTGGCGGCGGCGGCGTTGGTGTTGTAGAAGGCAACAGACGACAGGGGGCCGGCGGCGAGGGCGCTGCCGGCGTTGAA